TAGACGTTATTGTGCAGTTAACCCTTGCAGTGTGGGGGAGATCCACTATTATTATTATACAGGATTTATATAGCGCCAACAGTTTGCACAGCGCTTTACAATATAAGGAAGACATTACAATCACAATACAATTCAAGACAAGATGGTAAGGAGCAGGGGCGGACTGACAACACATGGGGCCCCCTTGTGCTCCGCCCATATACAAGTTCCTCCCGCACGCCCCACCTGCATAGACATTCTTGTGTCACAGAAATGTTTTCTACACATTATTATTCAAATAGTGGGCCAATTCACTAAGATGAATTGCCGGGGAACTGGCTGTCCATGCTTCTGGGCTGTGAGCTGTGGGAGGTTAGTGGGAGGGGCCGGACAGTGTCAAAGTCAGTGTTCTATAATTTTTCTTGATCCTATAAATTTTCTCTACTGTGTCACTTCCAGTTCACTGGGGACCTGCCGAGGACCCACTTGAGGAGCGAGCAGCCGGCTATTACAGAGCTGCATCTGATGCGGGCGGGCTGACCGGGTGCAGATGGCAGAGAGGCAGCGGCGAGGGGACGGTCAGTGACGGGCCCCATGATGGCCGCGGGCCCTCGGTCCGTGCCCGAGCCCGACTGGTCAGTCCGCCCCTGGTAAGGAGGGCCCTGCCCCTGAGGGCTTACAATCTAAGGCCCCATTTCCACTAAGCGATTTCCGCTGCGATATCGCGCATTTTTGCCGCGCGAAGAAGTCGCCTGCCAATGCTATTCAATGGAGCTGTCTTAGCTCCATGTCGCCCGTCGCTCTAGCAGGACACTTTTTTCTATTTTTTAACGGAGCCCGATGGTGAAGGTCGCAATACCGTCCCTGGATCGTCGCCCCGAAAGTCGCGCTATCCCGGCCACACAGACCGGATGCAAAAGGTGTGTCGCTTAGTGTGAATGGGGCCTAAAAGGGAGGGGGAAGTGATACATGAGGAGGGAGCTGTGTGGGGATGAATTGTTTGAGAACGTGATGGTTGAGCGGTTAGGTTGAGGTGGGATAGGCTTCCCTGAAGAGATGAGTCTTTAGGGACCGCCTAAAGGCAGTCAAGGTGGGAGATAGACGGACAGGTTGGGGTAAAGTACAGGGGGAGGTAGGTTTTTTTTTTAGCTGGAGATAGGCTTTACAGGTACTATTAAACCCTTAGCAAAAAAACCCCAAACATTTTATACAATAATCCACAACTAGTTAAAAAGCTTACTTTGAAATAATTTTGTCATTACAGCACGATGCAAGTCACTGCAGCAATCTGATGACATCTTGTGCGAGCACGCACCAGTGAACAGCAATGCCCAGTGATGCCAATGCCCTTCCACAAATCTGATGTGTACCATCACTCAAAAAATAAGATCATGGATAATTATTTTTCACAATGAAATGTGCTGCAAAGATATATCTTTACATGTTATATTTTTCACATCTAAAGCGTTTGTCAGTGCACCAAACACAACACAAGCGGTGAGAATTTAGCCTTTTCCTAAATGCAGTGCCCACATTGAACGCATGTAGTTTAACAGCAGATTATCTATTTTTATTATCTCAGTTGACATGCAGGCAGTAGCTGTCTTTCAACTTCCTGGGGGGAATTTATCAAAACTGAAACAGACAGAATCTGGAGCAGTTGCCCATAGTAACCAATCAGCTTCTCTCTTTAGTTTGTTCTGTTAAGATTTGAAAATGAAAGAGAAGCTGACTGGTTGTCATGGGCAGAAAGGGGACTTTATCATAAGTGGAACAGAGACTTCACTAGAGTTGGTGCAACCCGGTGC